TGTCCATCTGTCTGTCTTTCTGTCTGTGTGTCTGTCTCTCCTCTCTGTCTCTGTTTCTGTCTGTCTCTGTCTCTGTCTCTGTCTCTGTCTCTCTGTCTGTCTCTCTGAGCAAGCGGTTATGGAGTTCTCCTCTGCAGAGGAGGCGGAAGAGACTGGGGCTGAGCATTCCCTCACCTCAGATGAAACTAGGGAGCTAAAATGCAAAGTTTTGTAGAAAAAGCACCCAGAGCCGGGCATGGTGGCTCATGCCTGTCATCCCAGCACTCGGGAGGCTGAGGCAGGAGGATCACTGTGAGTTCAAGACTAGCCTGGGCTCACAGTGAGCTCGAGGCCAGCCTGAACTGCATAGTGAGACCCTGTCTCAAAAAGACAAAAAAAGAAAAAAAAAAAAAAGCACCCAGATAAGGCCGTGGCAGTGCATCTGTTCAGCAGTGATGCAACGTTTCATTTCGGCAAAATCCTCAAAGTAGGCCAAACACGTGCCCCCGGGGAGGATCTTTTCAGCGCTGCACAGAAGGATAAAGATTCCATGCAGCCGACAGCCGGCGGCTCTGCCGGTGATGGTGGAAGCTTTCCAGCACAGCAGCCCACCTCTTACCTCCCTCACGCCAGTCACCAGGGTTTTCAAAGCTAAGTGCAGGCTGATTTGTTTACTTTTCTTTATATTTTGCATTAGCTTTACTATTTTGTGTGCTCCGATGAGGCTGAGGCAGGAGGGTTGTGATCATTTTATGTGACTATTTTGGGGTTGTAGAGTGAATCATTGTTTCGATGGTTTCTTAGGGGCATTCACTTTGTTACACAAGCCCTTTGGTTACATGTGAGGTTCTGGAATGAACCGAGCTCACAAGCCCAGGTTTTATTGTGCTCTGAGAAGATTAAAGAAGACAGGAGCAGCAGAATGGTGTCCCCTGTCCCTGAACACACAGAGCCAGTGAAGTCAGAAGGACACACATCCAAAAGTATCATGCAGATTTAATGCCATCTTAGTCAAAATTCCAGCAGTGTTCCTCCCGGAGCTAGAGAGACCATCCCAGCATCCCTGCAGACCCAGTAGACTCAGCAGTGACCCTCCACCAGGGCAAAGCCGGAGGCACCATTGTCCTCAATTTTAAGCTCAGTTTTAAACTTTGTCTTGCAGGTTAGGCTGGCCTTCAACTCACTATGTAGCGCAGGCTGGCTTTGAACTCACAGCAATCCTCCTGCCTCAGCCTCCTGAGTGCTGGGATCACAGACGTGCTATACCATGCCCACTGAGATCTCTTATTTATTTGTCTATGGTCTTGTTTGTTTGTTTGTTTGTTTGTTTGTTTTGAGACAAGATCTCACGATGCAGTTCGGGCTGGACTTAGACTCACTTTGTAGCTCAAACTGGCCTCAGATTTAGAACCATCCACCTGCCTCAGCTTCCCAAGTGCTGTGATCACAGGCATGTGCCATCATGCCTCGCTGGCTATGTCTATGGTCTTTTTTGAGGTGGGGCTTCACTAGGGTTTAGGCTGGCCTTGAACGGGCAGCAGTCCTCCTGCCTAAACCTCCTGAGTGCTGGGATCACAGGCATACACCACTACGCCCAGTTGAGACTCCTTTTTTAGTAACTGGTAGCACATGCAGATACACACACAAAATAAAAATCCCAGGCTGGGGCTTTAGCTCAGCGGCATAAGCACCTGCCTTGCAAGCAGGCGGTCGTGAGTTCGATCCCTGGTAAAAAGTTTAAAAAGTTAAAATAAATAAATAAATAAATAAAAGTCCCATCGGAGTATAGGCAATGAAGGCAGGGCGTGGTGGCACACACCTGTAATCCCAGCACTCGGGAGGCTGAGGCAGGAGGATTCTTGCAGTTTTGAGATCATCCTGGGCTACACAGTGAGCCCAAAGCCAGCCTGAACTACATAGTGAGACCCTGTCTCAAAAAGATCAAAAAAAAAAAAAAAAAAAAAAAAAAAGAATACGGGCGATGAGCCGCAGGGGGTGGCGCACACCTGGCAGCACCTGGCAGGTGAGGCGGGAAGATCACTGTGAGGTCAAAACCGGCTTGAGCTGCACAGCGAGACAAGCTCTCAAAACAAAAAGAAAAAACATTCACAATTAACTCGCTCCGGCGGACAGTCACCAGGTACATGACAGGTGTTTGGGATCACACGGAGCAGGTGTTCAAGATCCTTTCCCAATGGGCCGCAGCTGTCTTCACAGGTGTCACAGTGATCTGTGATGACGACCTTCCACGCAGTGATTCAGGCGAGGGTGACGTCCCTGCAATTCTCCTGCGAGGTGGGGCGCGAGCATTCCGCCCTCCCAGCCTGCACTCATCTCCACGTGCTCACTGGACCCCCAGATGTCTCTCAGTCGAAGGCCATGTCTTCCTGAGAGCCTCAGAATCCCAGCTACTTGGGAGGTTGAGGCAGGAGGATCACCAGCTTTGAGGCCAGTCTGGGCAACTTAGTGAGACCCTGTCTCAAAATAAAAAGGGGCTGGGGATGCTGCTCAGGGTGCTGGGCTTAGTCCTTAGTACCAAGGTAAAGACAAATGTCACAGAAGTAAAGATTTAGAAAGGGCTTGGCTCCGTCCATCTGTTCCTGGACTCTACACTTTCCCGTCTGCCCAGGGAGCTGTGAAAGCCCGGGCTCCCCTGGCTCTTCCGCCCCCCAACTGCCCTGTGCCTCCTGACAGATGTCCCCATGTCCCCGGGGTGCCATGCAGCAGGGCTCCTGCAGGGACTGCTGAGGGCTCTGTAGGAAGTTGGGTGAAGAAGGCGTCATCCAGGGAAGGGACCCTGGTGTTCACCAGATTCCCAGGGACTAGATGTTTGTTTGTTTGTTCTTTGAGAAAAGTTGTTAAATTGCCCATGCTGGGCTTGAATGTGCAATCCTCCTGCCTCAGCCTCCCAGAGAGCAGGTATGACAGGTGTGCTCCACCGCTCAGGCTGGAATAGTGCTGACCTCCAAAATGCCACAAAGACTGGTGTGTCATCTTTTCAAATTGTCCCCTACCTCCCCACGCCCGGGTCCTACGGCCACTGCCAGCCGAGTCCAGTCTCCGGAAGGCGGAGCCCAGGGCTGGGCTCCATGTGTTACTCCGCCTCCCCTGGCCGCAGGCCTAGGCAGCAGCCTCCCGAGGGCTGGGATGACACAGGACCACTGCCAACTCCTCAAGGTGACTGACACCTTGGGTGGGGGGAGAACACCTTGCGGATGACACTCTGGAGACACCACTTGCCAGTGTACTGAATCCGCTCATTGGAAGCCAGGCATGTGGCTGGCTGGGAGGCTGAGGCAAGAGGGTGTGGAGTGTGGCGGTGCATCCCTGCCGTCCCCTGTGAGGGAGGAGGGCGAGAGTCACCGTGGGCGGCCTGGGCTCCATCGCCCATTATTCTTGGGCCAGGTTTTCAGGTCTCTACCCTGTATTGACTGAATATGACAAGATGCACACTTAGCAATCCCAGAGCACTGGCAGGAAGCCACAGGGCCAGGCTCCCTGCACCCCGCTACGAGGAGCCCGGCCCTGGAAATGCTGGGTCCGGGATCCTCACTTCACACGCTCGCCTGTGAGCCCCGTCCACGGGCGGCTCAGTGCGGACTCCAAGCCAGAGGGACGCAGGGTCTCACTCTCGCCCGGGCTGGCCTCAGGCGTGCAGTGACCCTCCTGCCTCAGCCTCCCAAGTGCTAGGAGTGGTGACCACTTTTTTGGTTCTTTTTTTCAAATCCATTTCATTTAAGGATAAAAAGAAAGGAAAAAAACAACAAAATTTCAAAACACGTCCATCAGGACGCTCTTTTTCCTTCTTACTAGAGTTTGTTCATAGCTGTTGCTCCCGGACACAGGACCATGCCCAATTCCGGCCTCAGAAACGTAGGTTACATAGTCACCCAATGAACGAACCAACTGAAATCAGATGCCTTGGTAGCCGGGCATGGTGGCCCATGCCTGTCATCCCAGCACTCGGGAGGCTGAGGCAGGAGGATGACTTTGAGTTCAGGGGCAGCCTGGGCTACAGAGAGAGACCCAGTCTCATAAAGAAAGAAAAAAGACAGAAGGTGGCTCAGAAAAGGGGAGCCCAGGCTGCCGGAGGTGCCTGCCTCCTCCTCCTCCCTCCCAGGGGACGGCAGGGATGCACCACCACACCCGAGACCCTCCTGCCTCAGCCTCCCAGCCAGCCACAAGCCGGGCTTCCAATGAGTGGATTCAGTGCTTAGCTGACGCTAAGCAGTGTGCTCACCTGTCACTGACAATCTGCATCTCCAAAGGCAGCCCAGCCCCTACATTTGCAGGACAAATTGGCTGCAGAGCGCCCGGCCCCAAACAATAGCCCAGCCCAGATGGGCGGGCACCTGCAGCGTAGGGCGCCTGGCTTTGCCGTGGTCCCGGCCTCCCGCCCTCGCCCCAGGCCAGATGTGCGCCTATTTAACCCCTGCTGCTCCCGGACTGACTCTGCAGTGTGACTTCCATGGGCTCCCTTCTCCCGTGGCAGGTACGTGGGGCGGGGCTGGGTTCTGGGTTCTGGGTTCCACACTCGTCACAGCCGCCAAGTTGAGCCAGGGTCCGAGGCTGCAGGGCGCCGAGAGCGCCTTCGAGCCGAACGGCCACCAGGGCCGCGCCGAGGGTCAGGAGCTCCGTGAGCAGGCCGGGGCTCGCACCCTTTCCTTTCACTTCTTTCCTTTTTCTTCTTGCTTTTGAGAGGTTCTCACTGTGTAGCTCAGGCTGACCTCGAGCTCCGGGAGCTCCTCCCGCTTCAGCTTCCTGGGTGACCCACTCAGGAGCCTGCACAGCCCCCTGCACGGCCATGCATAGCTGAGCAGCTCTTCTTTGAGGAAAAGTCTTCAGTGGCTGCATGGAATCCTTAGGATCCTTTAAGATCCCCAAGGAAGGCAGCATGAGCCTGGGACTTAAAAGGAGTATGGCCAACAGGGGAGGCTGAGGCAGGAGAACCGCAGCTTCCGGGCCAGCCACCACTCAACAGGACCCTGCCTGCAAAGAGAGAAAGTGGATGCTGTGGGTCGGTGGCAGAGGCACAGCGACCTGGTGTGCCCGGGACCCTGGGTTCTGTTCCCGGTACAGAGACTGCCTTGGGGAAACGGGGATGGGAAGACAGTGCAGGGGCCATACCTGGGAGAGGTGAACGCTGCGTGAGGGCCTAACAAAGCTGCAGTGTGACCTGCTCTGTCTGAGCTGAAGCTGGGGCTCACAGGCCCCGGCCCAGGACTGGGTCCCAGAAGACACTCACTGCACTCATCCCCCCTTCAGAATAGCAGTCCTGCTGTCTCCAGCCACCCTGGGCAGGAGACATTCTGAAGACACTGTAGCTTTTAAAAAATTCCCCTTCTGCGGCACTTCCTCAAAAACAGCTATTTAGCACAGGCTGCCCGGGACCTGGACGGTAGTGCCAGCCTCGGCCAGAGCGCGGTTGGATGAGACGTCTGGGGAAAGGGCTGCCTGCTTTCTGGTGAGTGTGTGGCTGCCTTCTCCAGGATAGCGCCCCTTGGCACCCTCCTGTCACAGCCTCCTGGGGTACTCATTCAGCCCCCGAAGGGAACAGTCGCTTTGGCAGGACGCTTTTCCGTCTCAGCTTGCAGCTCGGGAGGAGTGCGGTGGGGTGTTCTCACCGTGCAGCCGTCCCTCGTACCTCTCTACCAAACACCCAGAGCACGAAGGCTTGCAGGTGCCCTGAGCCGCAGCTTCTGAAGCACCCATGCTGGTCAGGGGGCACACAGACGGACGGGTTTCTTCTCACACTCCTTTTTTTCTTGTCTCTTTGAGGCTGAGTCTCGCTGCGCAGCTCAGACTAGCCTTGAGCTCACTTTGTGGCCCAGGCTGTTCTCTAGATTGCCGAGACCCTCCTGCCTCAGCCTCCCGAGTGCTGAGATGACAGGTGTGCACCACCACACGTGGCTTCAGGTTTTCCTTTTAACTGATCTGACCTAGAGATTCCACAAAGCTGCGGTGTGGATGCAGAGACCAGCACCCGCTGAGGGTTAAACACAGAAGGCTTGGGTTTGACTTGGCAGGGTGACAAACCAAGAGCTCCCATAAATGGGCTTTGGGCTTCTTCAGTGAAGTGGGTACTGCTGGGCCCACCGAGGTACAGTCTTCCTTATCATGCTATTTGCCAGCCTTGTAGGAAACAGAATGAAAAGGAATAAGAGGCATCTCTCTCTGCAATAATTGTTTATTTGGAGAAAAAAATCTAGAAGAATGAGAAAGCAGATCACGTGAACTCACAGACCAGAGTTGGCCATTTTGCTTTTGCAGTACTGAAGTTGCGTTCAGGACCTCGCCTGGGCTGCAGGCCGAGCCCCTGTTTATTTTTAATTTTAAAACCGAGTCACCAAATTGCTATATTGCCCAGGCGATGGACAATGTAGCAGAGGCTACAGATCGCAGACTTGCGATCCTCCTGCCTCAGCCTCCGGGAGTGCTGGGGGCACAGGCCTGCCCACCACCCTGGACTCTTCGCCTGAGAACTAAGATTGAATCCAAGACTCAAGGGAGTCCTGGAACTGCCTTCGTGAGCTGAATTTTTCTTGAATTACACAAGTCTGGATTTCATGGGACGAGAACAAGTCTTCTACCAGATTCTCAGAAGGCAAAGAGGCTTTGGAATTTGCTTATTTGTTTGAGACAAGGTCTCGCTATGCAGTTCAGGCTGGCCTTGACTTGGTAACCCTGAGTTCTCAAAGCACAGGAGGCTTTGGGTTGGAGATGGGCACCCACAGCAACACCAGCATCCTGCAGACATTTGGTGTGGGGCGGCTCCAGCTAAGAGGCTGCGATGTAGCCTAGCCAAGAATGGCTCCTGGGAAATCCTGCAGAACAAAAATGTATACAATTCACAGAGAATTCAAAGGGTGTCCTTGGTTTCTGTGATGTTGTACAAATGCCCTGGGGTACCCTGAAGCACAGGCTTAGGGCACACTGGAGGTGTCCCTAACTCTGTCTTTTCATTGTTTAACTTTTTTAGGGTCTTCAGTTTATTGATGAAGCATGGTAAGTGGATACGTGAAAATCTTTGCACCCCTTTATTTGACAAACACAGTGTTTGGATCACATGAAAAAGGTCTGGTGTGGTTTGCCCAGTATCATAGCTCAGTTTTGAGTCTGGGATGTATTTTTGAAATTAAGATGATTTTGTTTGTTTAAATGATTGACAAATTCTGTTCCACTTAAGATACTTTCTGTATCTTTTTCTTTCTTTAGTCTCATTTTGCTGACCTCTTTTTCTGAGTTGGCTTCCCTAGATCAATCATGCTTGGCTCACAGGATCCTGGGGCAGGATCTTGCTATGTAGGAGAGGCTGGCTTGGGACTTTATGGCGATGCTCCTGCCTCAGCCTCCCCCGCTAGGGTGACAGGTGTGCACCAACCGCCACGCCGCTTTCTCTCAGGAGTACTAACCTCACTGGCAGCTTGGTAACTCCACGTTGTGCACGCAGGCTTGTGTTGACCAGGACAGGCTGGGGCAGGCGTTCGAAGATGCTTTCGAGGTCCTGAGGCAGCACTCCACCGTGGATCCAAGTTCCTCCCCAGGTAAGAAGCCGTGCGCCCTCTGCAGTGCTTGGTCCCATGTGGAAGGGTAGTGACCGGCCGTGCGTGGTTGGAGTGCCTGCAGTCCTAGTACTCAGGAGGCTGAGGCAGGAGGACCTAGGTTTGAGGCCAGTTTGGATGATTTAGCAAAAGCCTGTCTCAAACTTTTAAAAAAGGATGAGGGTGTAGCTCACTGAAAAGGGCCTGGGTTAGAGCTGAGGCACTGGGGAGGGGGATGAGTTTCCCACACAAAACTTCAGGAACTGTAGATGTAATATTAGTATTTATTTTTGTCTTTTTGAGACAGGGTCTCCCTATGCAGTTCAGCCTTGAGCTCACTTTGTAGGCCAGACTGGTCTTGAACTTGCAGTGATCCTCCTGCCTCAGCCTCCCGAGTGCTGGGATTACAGGCATTAAGATTATTATTTAGAGTCTCTTGTTGACACCTATAATCTCAGGACTCAGGAGGCTGAGACAGGAGGGTTCCAAGTTTGAGGTTGGCTTGGGTGGCAAAGGGAGTCCCTGCTTCAAAACAAAGCAGAGTGGGCCAGGGCATGTGCAAACGCAGTCCTGGTACTCATGGAGGCCCAGGTGGGAGGGTCCGGGCAGGATAGGGACTCAGTCTCTGTCTCGAAATACAAGCCCAAGGCTCAGGGTGAAGCCCTGGTTCAGTCCCGGTACCAAAATCCCCAACAGTCTGTTGGTCTGGTTGGTGTCTATTTATCTAACACAGCTACAGGTGTTGCTGTCTTAACGACCTCCCTGGTCAGGCTTGCAGCAGGCCACTCGACTTTGACTTTTCCTGTAGCTTTTTCAGGCAGGATCTGGGTCTCACGGTGTAGCCCAGGCTGGCCTAGGACTCTCGGGAGCCTCTGCCTCAGTCTCCCGAGTGCTGGGGCTCCGGGCGCACACCCGGTTCAGGGTCTGTTTTTGCACAGCGCACCTTGGCCGTGCAGCTCAGTGTTCTGCTGACCGCACCGTGCAGGGCAGGGCTGCAGCTTCCTGTTCTGTCATGCATCTCAGTGCTGTGTGTAAGTTACGCAGATAAAAGCCAGGCCACTGTGTCCCCCAACCGCAGCCTTGGTGCTGCACGTGGCACCTCATAGAGTGACCCATTCATTAACGACCTGGTCTAGGTCCCGAACTCAGGGCCCAAGCTCCTCCCTAAACCAGGGCTGTCTGTATACAGAATGGGTTTTAAACAACCCACCGCTTCCCCCAGCCGGGATGCAGCCTGGCTACTCGGATGAGCGGTGACTGCAGAGGCTTGCAGAGTTCAGGATACAAACTCCGGGGTCTCAGCTACTCACAGTAGTGCAGTAGGAAGGGGCAGGCGGGCTATGAGTGTGTGTGTGTGCTGTGTATGTGTGTGCTGTGTGCACACACTGTGTGTATTGAGACTGTGTGTGCACTGAGACTATGTGTGTGCACGTGCTGTGTGTGGTGTGTGTACAGGAGGCTGAGGCGGGAGAATCTGCGCACACAGGCACACTCAGCCTCCCTGTCTGCTTTTGTGCAGATTACAGGAGCTGCCTGGCCCTGCTGAACCACTGGACCCCGCTCAGCACCAGCCCCGGGGTGCTGTCCGCAGAGGACCCCGTCTCCATCGCCAGCTGGCGATCCATCCTGGTTGGTATCCCTGTGCCCGGCCTGCAGGGAGCTGCCCCGATTCTCCTGAGCTGCCCAGTGACCCGGAAACCTGCAACACCCCAAAAAAGACAGTGGCAGGAACCGGCCTGCAGCCCCACACTGGCTCTCTCTGCATGGCAGTCTTTCCAGAATACGGTTCCACACTAATGAGTCATTCCTCCTGCCTCAGCCTTCCTAGTGGCGGGGTCACAGGTGTGCACTACCGTGCCTGGCTTTTTTTTTTTTTCTTTCTTGAGTTAATTCCATGGTTTGGGTCAATTTACCACAATTTAGCAGCCGCCTTCAGAGGCAGATGTCCATCTCTCTGCCGATGGAGTTGCTTTGTGTTTTGTTTTTTGAGATAAGATCTTGTTATTCATCCAAATTTGGCCTGGAACTGGCTGTGGAGTCCAGGCTGGTCTCAAATTTGTCACCCTCCTGCCTCAGCCTTCTGAGTGCTTTCTGTACTCTTTCACACTGTTTTCTTCTAGTGGTTGCCTTACCAAGCAGTCTAGCAGGGTGGGATCTAAATGGGAATTTTTTGGGGGGTCAGAGTCTCTCAACAGCCCAGTTTGGACTTGAACTTGAGGTGATCCTCCTGCCTCAGCCTCCCTGGTGCTGGGACGGTAGGTGTGCACCACCATGCATGGCTTTTGTATGCTTTTTAAAAAGAGGCACCTTAAACAGGTGCGGCGTTGACTGTTCTTTGTGACACTAACAAGAGTGTGGGTGGGTGGAAGGGGTCGTGGTTCTCAGGGGGAGCTTTGGGGCGCTGGCTGAGACTCTCCAGCCTGGCTGTCCCTGCCTGTGGCTCTTCCTTGGAAAGAGCTGTTCACAGCTGCTAAAGTGGGGAGGTTGGCCAGCAGCCCAGCGCTGACCATGGCTGAGCAGAGACTTGATTTGAGTTGAATGTCTGCGGCTGCATCTCTGCACACTGCGTTTGGAAACTTGCAGGGAAGGAATACAGTTCTATCAACTAAATCTAGAGTCACAAGTGGGCGCCGAAAATGATGCTTCTCAAATCCCTGCATCAAAATGGAGAAGGGAGCTGTGCAAGGTGGTGCGTGCCTATGATCCCAACACTTGGGAAGTTGAGGCAGGAAGGTTTCCAGTTTCAGGCCAGCCTGGGCTGCAGAGCAAGATCCTGTCTCAAAAAAACAAAAGAAACAAAACAACCCTGGTAATCAGCATGAGCTGAGCTTGCCTTGCCAAAGTTTCTGTAATTAGAACAATATGAGCAAAAACTGCAAAAACTACTTGACATATGTTTGCATCTTGCTACAGAAACTGTGAAAAATATATTTTTTCCCCTATTTTGGGGTTTGAACCCAGGGCCTCAGCACTGAGCTACATTTGCACCCTTAAAATATATATAGAAGTGGCTGAGGCTGGTCTGGGACGCATCATCCGCCTGCCTCAGCCTCCCACAGTGCTGGGAGTACAGGTGCGTGTGTTGCTACCCCCAGCAAAAGCATGTCACCTCACTGCTTATTTTATAGAACAGCGCGGCCAGCCCCAGTCTAACAGTGAGATATTATTTGTGCAGAACAGTGCTGTGGACTTCTATTATCTTGAAGGAAATGTTCACCCATCTCTGCAGAGCACAGCTGGACATCAGCCAGGGGCCCCCACACTGTCCCAGCCAAGGGGCGGAAGAGGTAAGTGGGGCGCCACACGCACGCACACACACACACACCCAGCAACGCCTCAGACTCGCGGTGACCCTCCTGCCTCGGCCTGCTGAGTGCCGGGATTGCCCACAAGAGTAGCCATCTCTACCCAAGTTGCTGGGAATTCCCCTAACCTAATCTTACTTTCTGTCTGAATCGTGTTTCCCATCTGACAAAGTGTATCATAGCCTTGAACTCATTTGACTACACTTATTTGAATAAAGCGTCTTCAAATGACCCGCTTCCTGGAAATGACTTTTTTTGGGGTACTGGGAATCAAACTCAGGACCTCACTTGCTAGGCAGGCACCAAGCTGCTGAGCCACACCCCTGGCCCCACGGAAATGGCTTTTGAGACAGCTATTTTATTGTTTTTTACTGAACTACTGTGGATTGAATGTAGACCCTTAGTGTGTCACCATGTTGCTAAGTTCGCAGGTTGGTCTTGAACTTGGGATCCTCCTGCCTCAGCCTCCCAAATTCTGGGATTCCAGGTGGGCGACGCCTCTCCATAACTGGCAGATTTTCGGTTCACTCGGTAGAAGTCTGAGGTTGTCCTCGGGCCTGACATTGGTCAGCTGTGCTGAAAGCCCTTGGTCTCCCCTTCCCAGCAGAGAAAACCAGGGCTTGGCCCCGCCCTCCCAACAAATGAGACTTCCACGGGCCAAACCCTCGTCTGACCTCCGTGTCCCACAGGGAGATGCTGTCAGTGCCCTTGTCCTGAGGGGAGAGAGCTGGAGGGAAACCTGTCCCGAAGTAGTCGCTCAGCAAATCCTGCGGGCCCAGCACTCGGGAGGCCGAGGCAGGAGGACCGCAGTACATCCGAGGCCAGCCTGGGGCTCCCAGTGAGTTCAAGGCCAGGCTGAAGGACACAGCTGGACCCTGTTTCCAAAAACACCCCCCCAAAGCCCCGGTCCCTCCCAAGAAGCCTGCCGTGCCCTCCCGCAAGCCTCACTCTGTCTCCCTGCAGGCCGGAGGAAGCCGCGGCTGTTCGAGTACCTGCATGAGTCGCTGTGCGACCCCGAGATGGCCTCCTGCATCCAGTGGGTGGACAGGGCCAGAGGCGTCTTCCAGTTCGTGTCCAAGAACAAAGAGCGGCTCGCCGAGCTGTGGGGCAGGAGAAAAGGCAACCGAAAGCCCATGACCTACCAGAAGATGGCCCGGGCTCTGCGGAACTACGGCCGCACCGGGGAGGTGACCAAGGTCCGCAGGAAGCTGACCTACCAGTTCAGCGAGGCCACCCTGCAGCGCCTGGCCCCTGCCCTCCCAATGGGCAAGGAGGTCCTCTCTGTCCCGGGCACACAGCCCCAGCAGGGGCACCCGGCTTTCAGCAGCTGGAGCGCCGGGCTCGGCCACCTGCACGCCGCCTACCCCGGGCCAGGCCACCCCGATGAGGACGCCCGCCCGACCCTGGCTCGGGGCTGGCCTAGCCACTAAACCACCTGGGATGACCTGAGATCCTCCCGCCTCAGCCTTCCCCCATGCCTGGCTGGATGTTTCCCTGGAAGCAAATTCAATGAATTTTCCTTGTCTCTAAGGCCCACGGCCCGGTCCTGCCAACTGTGGTGTGTTGGGAAGACTGCAAAAAAACATGTCCATGTGGAGCACACACCTTCCGAAGCAGCTCGGGGAGTCCGAGAACAGTGTCCCCCGAGCTGACTGCGGGGCCAACATCTCATTCCCGCAGCTGGTACCTCAGAACCTCTGGCTTATTCTCCAAGGAAATGTGACCATCCAAGGGAAATGGTTTGAAAAATTTGGGACATGGAGGCTGCCACAGCAGTGCCACAAGAGGAGCCAGACAGGCATGGTGGCCCGTCCCTGTAATTTCAGCACTCAGGAGGCTGAGGCTGGAGGATCACAGAGTTCAGGGCCAATCTGAATCTCATTGCCAAGAAAGCCAAAGTTACAAAGACGTTGCCTTGCAGTGATGCCCGCCACACACGTCTGTAGAATGCAGGTCCTGGTAGCTGAATCTTGGAAGCCGCCAATATGTCTGCCAACAGATGGACAAAAAATGTGTAGCATTATGTTTTTATGTAAAGTGTTGAACCCCAGTGAGCACTACCTAGCCACAAAGGGCAAACTTGAGCCATGTCAGGGATGGATGTACTCTGACAACTGAATGTTAATAAGTCAGACACGTGAGCTTCAATAGCTCGTGGTCTCTTATGAGCAAAGGAGAAATAATTTTTTAAGTCACGTGACAAAACTAGAAATAATTTATAGAAGAAAATAAAAATAATATGAAACATCCCAGAGAGGAGGGGACAGGTATAGAAGAAATCAAGATGTGTGTGTGGACCAGGTCCCATGACCAAGGTTGTGCACTGCAACACGTACTAGTAAAGACAAGTAAAAAACAACACAGTATAGACACGCAATGGAGTATTTCACTGCCACCAAGAACCAAATGTCATTTGCAGGAAAAGGGCTGGATCCTAAGACCACAGTGCTAAATGAAATAAATCAGGCACAAAAAGACAATTATTCATTTTTGGGTTTTGTTTTTTTCCGAGACAGGGTCTGTGCTATGTAACCCAGGCTGGCCTTAAACCTGTGGCAATATTCCTGCCTCAGCCTCCCGAGTGCTGAGATGACAGGCGGGTGTCCCCACAGTGGTATTCGCCTGTTTCTAAACCAGGCTGTTTGTTTTCTTGTTTTTGAGTAGTCCTGAGTATTTTTGGTATTGGTCTGTACAGGAGCCAGGATTTTCCAGTGTTCCTTCCTAGGGTGTGGGCTGTCTTTCCTGGGACCACAGTCCCATGCCTTTCTGCTGTGGTTGCTGGTGTTTTGGGGGTCACATCCCAGAGCTCTCGTCCCAGGGCCAGCGTCCTGTTCTTTTCCCTGTTTGCTTGCAGCAAAGTTAGGAGTTCAGCCCCGAGTCCCAAAACTTCTGACTTTAGAGTCTGGTGTGGCAGCATGCACCTGCATCCCAGCTCTCAGGAGGCTGAAGCAGGAGGATTGCTGCAAGTGCAAAGTCAGCCTGGGCTCACACTGAGTTCGAGGCTGGTCTAAAGTACACAGAGAGACCCTGGCTCAAAAAAACAAACCTAAGAAGGCAGAGCACACAGACAGACTGGAGCGGGTGGCCGAAGGCAGAGGGGGTCCCGTGCCAGAGTTAACTAGGAGGAACGGACACCCATGTTTATGCAGCACAGTGACGCAGTCATCTGCACATTTCCAAATCGCTAGGACAGCGTTCTTGCCCCTGAGAAATCATTAGTTTCCGAAGGGAGCTGCCAGTGACCGCTGGTGACCCACAGGGGCCACCTCACAGCCCGTGGACCTCGCAACAGGCAGCAGCGACCATGGCCAAGGGAGAGACCTGACTCCGGATCTCCCTGCCACTTTGGGTCCTCAACCCTCGGTGCCAAAGGGGCAGAGGGGCAGCTGGGTGTGGCTGTGCGCTCCTGTCATCCCAGCACTGGGAGGCTGAGGCAGGAGGATCGTGGCGAGTTCGAGATCAGCCTGGGTTTCAAAGTGAGCTCAAGGCAGCCTGAGCTGCACGGCGAGACCCTGTCTCAAAAAGACCAAAATAAATAATAAAGGGGCCGCGGCTGCCCTGGAGGACAGCGCAGAGGCCGCGCCCCCTCTAGCCCCCGCATCTCTTGCTATCCTACAACTCAGCCACTGGGGGGTGCTGTTGCTCCAACCTTGAACAAGGTCTCTGCCCTTCAAAGGACACAGCAGAGCCGAGGTGTGGACGCTGGGCACGGAAAGCGCTGGTAAGGGTAGGGCAAGGACCTGGCCAGTCCTGGTGAGCACCTCGACTCGCAGCACTTGGGAGGCTGAGGCAGGACGATCGCCGTGAGTTCGAGGCATAGCCAGACCCTGTCTCAAAATACAGATACGAAAAGGGGTGACCCTGGCTCGGCGAGGGGCCTGGCTTTCCTCGCAGCACCCACACGTCGTGGCCGAAAGGAACCGGCCGCCCAGGCGCCTTCCCCGGCCTCCCCAGCCCCCGCAGGGCCGCTCCCCGCCCGCCAGCCCTGCCGCTGTGCCTGGGCCCCGCCCTTCCGGCCACCCGGGTCCCTCTCCTGCCACAGGAAGGACCAGGAGCGGCCTCTCTGCCTTTCCTGGGCCCTGTGCTCTGTGCCTCGGCCTGTGCTCCCCGGTCCTCCATCCTGTCCTTTCCGTCCGGGGACAGCAGAGTGAAACCCTGCCCAAGGGGAAGGGCTGGGGGGGGGCTGACTTCACCCCCGCCCCGGCTCCGGAAGGCGGCTTCCCAGGACGTGATTTCTCAGCCCATGTATTAAACTTTAAATAGTTCCTCCTTTTATGATTTTATAAATGAAGTCCTAATTTCGTTTTCTTAATTTTCTCTTTTTTGAGACAGGGTCTCTCAATGCATTTCAGGTTGGTGTTGAATTCACAAACTGGCCTCAAATCTGCAGCGACCTTCCTGCCTCAGCCTCCTGAGTGTTGCAATTACAGGCATGCACCCCCACGCCCAGCCAGTCTGATTTCTCATCCCCTGAGTGACCAAATCCCGAATGCTAAGTCCCCTCTTGGATGGCTCCCAGGGCTGGGGATGCCGCCTGGGGTGGAGGCCTTGTCCCGGTTCAACCCCCACCTCAGGGTAGGGGTAGTGGGGTGGCTCCTAACCCTAACCCAGCAGCACCCCAGGGGCGGTGCGTGTCTGCAGAACTCGCTGGCCACGCGGGAAGGGCCCCTTGCAGGCCGTGTTAGTTTCGCATCGCTGGAGGCTCTGCTTACACCTTGGGGTTGGGGGGGGTCCCCGTTTTCCTCCTGGCTCGGGGCCTGGGTTCGCAGTCACTGGCTCCGGGGCAGCGATGCACGCGCACGGGAGGCGCGGGGGACAGGAGCGCAGCGCCCGGGGCGCAGTCGCACCCAGCGACCCAGCTCCCGGGCCTGGTCTCCCGCGGGGCGCTCCAGCAGAACGCATCTGATGGATGCAGGAATCAGACTGTGACCCGGCCCGTCGATCGGCCAGCACCCCCACCCGGGCCCGCCCTGGATCCCCAGTCCGGACACAGCGGCGTGGGGGCCGTTTAGGTCTACGGAGCGAACTGAGCCGGCACTCGGGCGCCCCCTGCGCGGCCTGGGAGGCCCTGGGGCGAGGGCTGGCGCTGCCGCTCCCCGGGGCCGGGCCCTCTCGGGGCTGCCCTCGTGGCTCCTGACTCGCGGTCCCCTCCCCTCGGGGAGGCGGAGTTTGTGCTCGATGAGCTCATCCTTGCCTCCTTTTGCTTTTTCTGCATTGCCTGTGGCGTCGCTTTGAATAACAACGTTAGCTGATTGGTGCGGCACAGTCCTGCGTGTGATTGGACGATGGGCTTCCTGACGAGGGAAGGCCCAGCCAATCGGCTTGCAGCCTGGATGGAATGACAAGGGGAAGAAGGAGAAGGCCGGGGGCGTTTCTCTGGCGGAGCTCTGGTCATTTTTTTTCTCTTGGAACTCAAGATCTAGCGCTTGCCAGGCTGGCGCTTATGTCGCTGAGCTAAATCCCCAGTGCCAGGAGCTCTGGTCTTCACTGTTGCCTTTGGACGTTGGTCTTCTGGTTTCCAGCCACTCCGTGTGGTGCTGTGAGGTTTGCGCAGCACCCCGAAGCCAACAGGTGGACTCCCTTTTGAGCCATTTGTTTAATAATAACCACAGTTGACATTTACCTGCAGTTGTGTGCACCAGCTGGTTTGCTGCTGAGACACAGTTTATTAATTAACCAGTTTATTGATTTATTATTGTTTTTGTCTTTTTGAGATCTCGCTATGCTATTCAGGCTGGTCTTGAGTTCACTTTGTAGCCCAGGCTGGTCTCAAACTCGCAAGGATCTTCTTGCCTCGGCCTCCCAAGTGCTGGAATGACAGGCATGCGCCACCATGCCCAGCTCTGAGACATAGTTTAAATAACCTGTCTGCCTTCGTTCAAGCGAGTGGAAAGACCCTGAGCTGAGACCCCGGAAGTCTGTACTTTCTGCCTGACGACGAAGTGTTTTGCACTTGGGAGTTGCCACCTCTCCAGCTCACACCTGGGTTTGAGACGCTTTGCTGGATTCCAAAAAGAAAAGCCAGATGGGGTCGAGTGAGCTTCCCTAGGCGAGAACGGTGTGGTGTCCTACAGCCAGGTGACACCTTAGGGGCTGGTGGCCAGTACAGTGGACAATGGCAAAGCACAGGTCTGAGAAGAGACAGGAGAAACTTCGATTAGGAGGTGAGAATGCTACCTAGCAACATTCACCCCCTGCATAAATGCGGGGAAGTGGCACCTCATACCCCACAAATACGTACTGTTAGTGCATGTTGCATTAGGGTTCTAGACGAATAGAACCAAAGGGAGCTACAAGTATCTCTATCCCAGGGGACTTCCTAGGCAGGTTTATCAGCCACGGAACATGAGGGGTCAAGGATGCAGCTCCGAAGTCAGAGGCCTGGGAGTTCCCTGTACGGTCGCTAAGAGGAGGCTGAAGAAACTGGAATCCAACATCTAAGTCAACATCCAAGACCGGAGCCTCCAAAACTGGGCATAGGGCTCCTTCGGTCCCTTTTTATGCCGTCTAGGCTATCAGCCTGTTGGTTGGTACCACCCACATTCGAGGCGGGTCTTACCTCTCGGTTTGCTGGGCTCCATGTCAGTCATCTACGGCCACGCCCACAACTGTGGCTTTTGAGTCTAGGGATGCTTTCCGGAGCCAATAATTGATGCCCGAGAAGCCGACGTGGTTCAGATCCAAAGCATACACGCTCTGTGTGGCAGCAACGCTTGCGTAATGTCAGGTCCCGCTTCCCCAGCTGGTTTTGCTCTCGACAGCACGGGAGCCGGGCCAGGCTCACTGTGACAAGCAAAGTCGCTCAGATCCATAGAAGATTAACCCGCAAGAAGCTGGCCAGTGAGTTCATCCACAGCTCAAGGAAACAGAGTTGAGTTTCTTATATCCAACTTTTATGACATAGGAGAACAAATACAATTTTATATACAAAGCACATTTCATGTCATTACAGTGGTGCCTTGGTTCACAAACTTAATTTGTTCCAAGGTTCTGGAGAAGATGGTTGTGGTCCTGTTTGTCACCAGATTGAGAATTTGCAAACAGAAGCAAATTTTCCTTTTTTTTTTTTTTTTTTCAAGAGAGGGTTTTGTTATGCCATTCAGGCCAGCCTTAAATTTACTGTGTAGCCCAGGCTGGCCTCAAACTTGAAGTGACCCTCCTGCCTCAGCTTCCTGAGTGCTGGGATTACAGGGATGTGCAAGGTCACACTGACAGATTTCTGTCCCCTGAAACACTTGGTTTCTTCTTTTAAGTAAAGCAGGGGGATCCGGTGGGATGTTCCTGGCTTCAAATACCAAAAGTAGCCTCTCTCAAGCTGGTCTAAACGATAAGAAAACTTCTTGCTGCACAGACTGAGAAGTCCAAGGCAGCATGAGCTACACTGTGACATTTTATCACGGTGGCTTCTTTTCTGGGGACTCATTTGTCTCCTTCTTGCCATTGCTTTATCCTTGGGCAGTGTTATCATTTGCGTTTGGATACTTCCCAAAGCTTCATGCAGTCATGGGAGAACCGGCCTTTGGGCTGCAGCTGAATCTAGCCCTGATTGGTTGATCATCTAGCACTGGTATGATTGGTTCATTGTCTAGTGCTGAGATTGGCTGTGTGAGTGCTACACCCACCCAGGGGCGGAGCCAGTATACTATATAAGCAGGAAGGCGAGGTATGTTTTTCTCTTTTGCCCTTTTCATTGTGCTGCTATGAACAGCTGCCCCTTAGCCACACAACCCTGCCTTGGAGCCAGTTGATTATAAACTGAAACTTACACAAACATTGAGCTAAATAAACCTTTCCTTCCTTCATTTTGGGTGTTGGGTGTTTTGTCCCAGCAACAAGAGAAAGTAACCAAGACAGGCAGAGAGGGCACAAGATGCCTGCCACATAATCTCAGCACAGCAATGCTCGGAAGTATGAAGGGGTATTTCTTCTAGTGTTTCCTCTATAATCATAAGAAAACTTCCAAAGCTCTCCAGATCATGGTTCTTTTGTTGTGTGTGTGTGGACGGTTTGTTTGCTTGCTTGCTTACTTACTTGCTTTTTGCAGTATTTGGAATTGAACCAGGGCCTCACAGATGCTAGAAAAACACTTTAGCACCAAGTAACACACCCAGCACTTTATTTTATAGACCTTCACTATGTTGCCCAAGCTGGCCTTGAACCTGGAAACCCTCTTGCCTCAGCCTCCTGAGTAGTTGAGGTTACAGGAATGTTCCACCATGCTTGGCTTCTCCCCATGTTTCATTGTCCAGAACTGGGTCACACTTTGCCATGAAACAGTCTCTGGCAAAAGGAAAAGGTACAGCTGTGACTGGTTCAGGCCAAACAGGAGTCTCCTCTGGAAGGGGAGAGAGTTGTGCCCCTTGAATGGCAGGGGAGACAGATGACCACCGACATACAACCGAGGTGCTATATGAAGGGAGTGAGAGAGTGCAATTGGCTGTGCTGGCCACAGTCCAGTCCTTTACTGCCCGGTATCTCCAGAGATGCTGAAGACCGATCATGCCTCTGCAGGAGTCATTCTTCCCTCAGAAAGGCGCTGTTTCAGAAAGGTCACTGAGGCCCAAGCCCAGGATGGCTGGAGGTGTGTTCAATTTTGTCCCCTGCCGTGGCTGCATTTGCAATGGGCTAAACTATCCAGTGTGTCCTGCGAAGGAGAGGCCCCTGACTGTCACACATCCCAATTAACTGCACAGGGCCAGTGAGGTGCCGCCTGGGAGGGGAACACGTGGGCTGCAGGGCTGGTCCTTCATCCATGTGCTTTAGGAATTTTTTCCTCAATACTGGGGATTGAACCCAAAGCCTTCCACACTGAGCTGCATTTCCAGCTCTTTTTTTTATTTTAAGACAAAATTTTGCTCAATTGCTAAGTGGCCTACGTCAGGCTTAAACTTGTGATCATCCTGCTTCAGCCTCTTAGGGTACTGGGATTACTAGCGTGTGTCACAACACCCAGCAGGGAATACCACGTTCCTCAGGGGCCTGGTCCTGACTTCTGGGGTCATCCCCTGTTCAGTTTCCTCCTGTGCTCACCTCCGGGATGGGCTGTAGGAAGATGTTCTTTCCTTGGAATTGTGCAACAGTCTGTTAACATGAGTTTGGAGCACCAGGACTGCCAAGTCCACATTTTGGCACTTGGGACTGACATCAGGTTGTTTCCTGGTACCAGATTTCGGAGCAGCCGCTGTCCTTGGTGACTGACTAAAGCCAGTCTTGGCTCCTGCAGGCACAAAGGGAATTTACTGAAAGGTATTAGATTGCTTACAGACTTTCTGAGAAGGCTGGAGGACATACAAACCACACCAAAGACGAGGTCGAGTTGGGACACCACCGTCATTCTGTTCCCAACCCTGACAGGTCTGGTTGCCATCTTGTCTGTCACCGCCCAGAGCTAACCCAGCATCACTACTGTTCTCCGGAACCATCTTGCTGCAGCCATCATTGCACCCGGACAGGGTTTGCTGCCCACTCTGCTACGTGCATCACCAGTTTTCCATGCAAATTCTAGGAAGGGGCTTCTGATTGGCTGAGGCTCAGTCATGTGTCCATAACTTAGAACCAATCAAAAAACAGGCAAGCGAAATGAATAAAAGAGACACTTTCCAACTTTGTCCAAAAATTAGTTTCTTTTTCCTACTAAACAAAAGAAGCCTCTGCTTCCTAGCAAGACTCAAAAGGTCAGAAATTCCCCAAACGTAGGAGCGAGTTCAGATACTAGGCAATCAGCAGGATGACAAAAATTCATTACAATTTTTAACCTCATTCATGAGAACACAGCAATGTTCAGCTTTAAAGACATTTGCTCCACTGGGCTGACACCCAAAAATATTCTTTGTTCTTGGTACTTCTGTGGCCACAGGAATTTCAAGTTTCTAAACAACTTTTCCTTATCTTTCTGAGAAGGGAATTTCAGTTCTCCAGATTTCAAGGAAAATTGAAACGAGGCTTTACTTTGTGTGATTGTGAGCTGGCTATTTTGGGAAGACCTCAAATATTCTCAACCAGGAGAAGAACTTGCCTTAGAAGAACCCTCCAGTGCCTGCCCAGAGGGACCTATGCCTGGCTCTGGGGGTTCTGAGAGCAGGTTCCGCTGGACTCACGGTGATCTCCTATGAACGAAGTAATCACCTGTCTGTCTGCATCTAGAGATGCCATTGTTCCATTTAAATAATCTCAGTAGATTGCTCTGTTTCTATTTTATACTGATCTCTGCTTTCTGTGATGCCTGTGCCTCCAAGGCCTGACTTTCTCAGAAATCAGATCAGCTTGGCTGTTATGGTCTCCCTTCTGTGGGAACAGGAGGGTGCTCAAGGTACTTACTATCCTTCCATTGGGTCATCCGGGGCTCTGTTGTTACCGTCTGTTTTGACTCTTGAGTTCATTTCTTGGTGTGTCTGGTAATTTAACTGAATGCCAGACATGTCTTGTGAAAATCTCTGGAATTCTGTATAGTATGATTTCCTCAAGAAAGATTTCTCCAGCTTCACTTAGGAGATGGATTTGAGCATATCATTTTAATCTACTCAGAGGCTGAGTTAATTCAAGACTGAATTGCAATTTTTATAAGATATAACCTATTGAGCTCTGCATAGTGGTGCATGCCTGTAATCCCAGCACTAAGGAGGCTGAGGCAGGAGGATCGTGGCACGTTTGAGATCAGCCTGGACTACAAAGAGAGCTCAAGGCCAACTTGAACTGCATACTGAGACTCTGTCTCAAAAAGACAAAAAAGAGATATAACCTATTTCCTTTTACATTAGCTAGGTATATAGACCACACACACACACACGTACACACTACTTTTAAAAGTCTATTGTGTGACTTAAAATATAATCATACAAAGTTTAATCAGGTGAGAACTTTGTAAATTCATGCTTTTTTTTTTCCTTTTAAGACAGGGTCACACTATGCAGCTTAGGTTGACTTTAAACTCATTTTGTAGCCCAGGATGGTTTAGAACCTGTGGAGATCCTCAGGCCTTGAAAGCATGTTCCATTATGCCAGCCTATAAATCCGTACTCCTTACACTGTGTATGTTACTTCTCAGAAGTAGGAGGAGAAAATGCACTACTGGAACATGACAGAATACCACAGAGTGAACACAGCACTTTATTCTGAAGATCAAATTTTATTCACAGATTATGGACAGTAAAAATGATTTTTATTAAAACAAATTCTGATTTATTTTGATGCTATAAACATTAGCCAAGGCCTCACATATACTAAGCTCTCACTCTACCCCTGATCGGTACCCCGCCCTATGACTTGTTAATGACCACATGCAATATGGTCATTATCTAAATCATAAATGAATTCTCCAGGTCATCAAATTTCTCCATGCTGGTGGGATGCTTCTGACTGGGTGCCCAGAATTTCAGGGGAAAGTTTGAACTTTGGAGAAAAGTTTGAGAGGAGCAGATCGTCTCTAATTCTGTTTCCTTCTGTATTTCTGACTACCAAGAAATTCAGAATGTGGCCTGGCAGATTCACCCTGGTCAATCCCATGAATGTCTTTATCCATTTATTTCACTTTTATTCATCATTTATTATTCAATTATTGCTCTTTTATCTATATGTAGTTTCTTTTTTTTATGTTTGCTTTTCAGATACACTCTGAAATGTGCATTTATTGTTTGCCACTTTCTTTGAAGTAGGTAAGGGTGTAACTATACCCCCCACCTGTATCTCCAGCTCTCCGACCTACTGATCATTTTATTCCTTGCTTACTTTTGTGAGCTATTTCCTTCAAAGGCAGGGACAGGATTCATTAACTTAGTGGTAGTTTTTAGCTACAATTCACACATTCTATTAAGTCACTGAAAAATCAACTTCATCTAATTCAAAGGGGCAGACAACCAACACAAAATGCGCTGACACTTTTAAACTACATAATAGAAATTATGTTACTGAACCTAGAAGTCATTTTTAAAATAAAATAAAGGCATTATTTTCATGTCTTTGCCCACAGAAAGTTGGTTTTTCTTTTCGGTTTCCCACAAGGCAGCCTTTGCTGTGGGTATTTTTAGTAACATTTATATGTAGGGACAGAGTGGTGGCCAGGTGATGTGAAAACATTTCTGTAGGGCAGCAGTGTCCTATCATGTCCCTTGAGTGGCAGAAGGGATATGTCAGTGCAGCTCATAAAAATATTTGGGTGTCTTATTACCTCCATACTGAAGAACAGATCCACATCATCTGACTCCGTGCGAGACAAAGACACCGGCTGGAATAGAGCAGAGAAATCTTAAACATACATTGTAGGTTGGCAAACAGGTTTTTTCTTCCTTTCTTTTTGGTTTTCTTTCTTAATTTCCTCAGCGCTGTAAAGTAAACCCAGCGGTGCTAATAAACTAAGCTACATCCCCAGCCTTTTTTATTTTGTATTTTGAAATAGGGTCACATTAAATTGGGACCCAAACCGACCTCCACATTGGAATCCTCCTGCCTCAGCCTCCCGAGTGCTGGGCTCACCGAGGTGTGCCATGAGGCCTTGCTTGGCAGATGTTTTTTTTTTTTTTTAAATTGGTACCAGGGATCGAACTCAGGACCACCTGCTTGCAAGGCAGGTGCTTATGCCGCTGAGCTAAATCCCCAGCCCCTGGCAGATGGTTTTTCATGACAGATGTGAGTCCTGGGAACTCATTTATAGGAGAAAAGAAATCAATGGTGATAAACTAAATAGGCAAAAGTGCCTTGTGATGAGAGTGATGGTGTGGAATCCTATTGGCTTAACAAAGTATGTTGCGCTTTTTAAAAACCTGTTTTGGGGGCTGGGGATTTAGTTCAGCGGCATAAGCGCCTGCCT